TAGGGAAGAACTGATACAAACATGTCTAGATCTGCATCTCCTCTGCTGAAATCCCTGCTATTAATGGAATAGAAAGAATACAGGTGGGGACTGGGGTCCATTTTTGGCATCATCTTCCCCACCATCACCTGTCCAACTGGGATTTCACCATATAATAATGAGTTTATGTAAAAACTGAAGGTCATGGGGTAAGAGAGAGTCGACAGAGTAATGCCTGAAGAGGAGTACATTGTTTCCTCTTTCTAGTGTTACAGAAAATATTTTGCAACGTCCCCCAATGGGAAAATGGAAGGACAACACTGAACAGGAATTGCTTTAGTGGATGATCTGGCTGGAAATGCCTCAGCCACTTTCTCCAGGTTCTGCACGGGTGGCACAGGTCTTCCACACCGTCCCCCAGGATATGCCAAAGTTTGAACAGCAACCACATCCATTTTTCTGGAGAGTGAAACAAAAATAAAATGCAATGTCTGGGTATTTTTCCCGTTGCTGCTAGAAATACAGAGTATGGACAAAACCTAAAAGGTCTTACACAGACAGAGCTCTCAGTAGACAGTGCAGGGGATATGCCTCAGTAAAGACTTCAGAAATTGGCAGCTCTTTGTTGTGTAATGATTCTGCTAAAAGCAAAGGTATTTACAATGTTTTATAACTGATGTGGTAGTACCTGTCACCAATAATGAACTTTTTCTTCAAAATATGTAAATTGAAAGTTTCAGATTGATGTGAATGGTTAATAACAATCGTGTAACCTGTAAAATTCCTTATAGACAATAATAATCTCCTGACAATTTACTTACAGTTCCTCAAGGAAGATTTGTAATGGCTCTAGATTGTTTGACAAAGTTAGACTCAGTATTTATGTTTGTTTAGTATTAGAGCAGACAGGTCATTTCTTATGCAAGACATCAGCAGAGACCTTTGCATGCCTCTCCCATCATTGCATTTTGGAGAACAGTTTTACTTAGAGCCTTAGCCTGTGATTCATTTCACATCCCCACTCCCCAATGAGATCATTGGGTGTATGTCTGATTTACCAGCAGAAAAGCAGGTATTGTGTGTTTCAGTATCTCAGACATGTCTGTATAGATTAGAATTGTAACCTGCAATTGCAACTTACGAAGAGTTTTAGATTTCAGAATACTGAAAACACGATATAATTAAGCACACATAGCATGTTGGCCTGCTTGTCTCTTTGGGGATGTAAGGGGCAATCATTGGAGTCTGGATCTGGGGGAAAGGGGAGGAAGTCAGATGTTAAAAATGAAATTGTAGCAGTTCTACTGCCAAGGCAGAGCCAGGCAATGCAGTAAAACCAATCTTGTGCAAAATTATCTCCCCGTATATTAGTACAATATGAATAATATGTTACCTTTCTAAGAGGAAAACTGTAGCACCTTTCTCTTCTAGCCTAAGTTCTAGTCCAAAGCTAGAGACGAACACAAGCAGGACGGGAGGACAGCACTTGTCAGCAGGACAGCTAACAGCTTCATTGTGATCTGGACCTCGTTCTGTCCCATAGGTTGCTCGCAAGACCTGTCTCTCATCTTCCAAAGAAGAAAAGCTACTTTCTACCTAAATGTATCAGGTGAAAGCCTGGGTCAGTGAATGGCTGAATGTTAATTTACTCATAAAACAGATTCACTTGGATTATTTAGGATCAATGGATATTAAACAGGTGCCATCTCTGCTATGCGAAGTCCCAGTGCTACTGCTTGCCAGAACCTGAGCTAATAAACCGTGTGAACAACTGATTCACACTTGCTCTGTTTCTTATACTCATCCATAGTGATTTCTGTTGGCCAAAGAATACAGACTGCTGGTCTGGCACCATATGACCATGTGTATGTTCTCAGTTGTGAAGCTGCAATTTTGTTCAGGCTTTTGCTTCAGGGTCTAAAGGGAAGCACATTTTACTATGTTTGGTTGATAAAAGCATGACGCTGAGGTGAGGAGCGGAGTGGGCAGGGCTGGTTGCAGTTCAATTTTGTGTTGCTGCTCCGATCAGCATGCAAGGCACAGACAACAGCTGTTACAGCAGCACCCTGCTTGCCTTTATCTCCTGTTGAGGTGGTTTAATAAGACTTCAAATGAGGTGGTAGCAACCAAAAGGTAGTTCCATTTTAAATATGGCCATAGCTGGACTGCTCTTCCTGCTCTTCACAGCCATAAAGCAATATACCAACAGAAGAGGGGGCTCCACATTTAGCTTTGCAAGGGAGAGGAAGCGTACCTGTTCCCAGTGCAAGCAGCAGGAGCAAAGCAGGGCCTTAATTATCTCCACCATTGGGCACCATAGTCATAAGGCTCCTACAGAAGAGGAGGTTCATCTGAAACCACTTGCTAATTCTGTTTCTAAGTCTTTCCGTTTCAGATAAAATTTTTCTTTAGTGCAGAGATTTATATTTTTCTTACAAAAAAAATGCATTTTGCCTTTGGTTCTTGAACCTACTTGGCTTTCCAGGGAAGGCAGACTGCACATAGACTCACAGGGATCAGATGTTAGCTCTTAGTGTGATATCATCTTCTGCACATTTTTATATTATTGCAGTTCATAACACTCCACCACAAGATGGAAAACAGTAAAAGCCTCTTTATTTATAGGGTTATTACAGGTATCCTCCAGTGTATCTCATGTGTATACATTCTGTCAAAATATTTCAGGATTTTGACAATAGTGCCTGAACTTGTTTCAAGTGACATGACATGGCTTTTAACTGTATTTTTTTACAGTTTTAGTATTTTTAAGAATAGCTAATAAAAGTATGCCTGTGCACTAAAAAAACAGAGAATCCCTTGGTGAACGAAAGGGTTTAAATAAGCATCAGTTGAGTTTTGCAGTTAAATAACCTCTGCAGGAAATTATTATGATGTTCTCAATAATTGCTCTGGAAAAAAAAAAAAAGTCTTGAAGTCTATGGAAGGCGTAACAGATCTAATTAATGCCCACACTGTTTCTCCAGAGAAACAGGTTTTGGGTAACGTAAATGCACTGCAGAGAAAATGTTCTTGTGCTTATTTTATAGTTTGCCCTTATTTTTTCCTTCTACAGCTGTAGTGTATGGTGTTTTACAATGTGATGTGTACCTGTCGTCAGAATTGCAAGTTGTATTATCATTTCTGAAATGTGTAAAACAAATCTATATTTCCTGTATTGCTAAAAGTGTTGGTGTCCATTATGATCCAAGGTGGGTTTTCATGTCCAAGGAGTGTGGATGTGTTTGTGCACGTGGTGGCTATTTCATTGTTGTGTTCGTTATGTGTGTATGTTGAGTGTAGGTATTATCAGGAGCATTCTTTCTAGCTTTTAGTACAAAAGCTGAATCGGGGGCTGAAAACACTGACACATCTGGAATTTCAGAGCATTTCCAGGGACTGACAATTAATGGTACTCAACCAACCCTGCACCTCGTCACTGATGGATGATTAGAGTTTAGCTAATGAGAGCGTGTTCAGAGAAGAGTCAGGGATTTTTTATTCACTTGTCAGTTTGGTTGGGGATCTCTGTGGGTTTAAATCTGAGTTGATATCCACAAAGGGGTCCAGAAGAATCCGTGTAAATGGTCAGACTGTTCTCTGCTGTCAGCAGTTTCATGTTTACACATTAAGCTCTGCAAGTCAAGGATCATTGCTTTATATGTTTATAAAGCTATATTGCTACCTGTGTTTCTAAAGTATCTAAAATAAAGTGGCCTGGCCTCCCAGTACCCCTGAATGGCAAATGGTGATTAGCAGAAGGGGCCCACTCTGTTCTGTGCCTGTCAATGCTCACCCATGCTAACAGGTCAGCTTGATGGGTGCTGTTTGCTGAGATACTTCCATTGGAGCCAAATTCTTCTCAGGGGTGTCCAGTGAAAGGACAAGAGGCAATGGGCACAAACTGGAACACAGGAAATTCTGTTTAAATATGAGAAAAAGCTGCAAGGGAGGTTGAACACTGGACCAGGTTCCCTGGAGAGGTTATGTGGTCTCTGCTGTGGAGATATTCAAACCCCTGACTGAATACGGTCTTGGGTAGCCTCCTCTAGTTGACCCTTCTCTGAGCTAGGAGGTTGGACAAGATGCTTTGCAACCTCAGCAAGTCTGTAGTTCTGTGATTTGCTTGACTGGGACCTAACTGGATATGTCTGTGCTTCTTGAACAGAGCAGGCTTGGGAATACCACTGTCTGTCTGCAGGCAAAGGTCTGAGCATAGCTGGTGGTTTACCAGTGTTCTTGGCATGCTCAGCACCAGTGGCTCAGAAGGCACACTTGGGGCTGGGCTTGCAAGCTTACTTCTGAACGGCCTTCAAGTCTGGTCTAAGGGCTGCCATTAGGAAATCTAGGCATAACTAGTGTTGCTGAGTCCTTTTTTTCCTGAACTGCAGTGGTGGTATCATGACATAGGGTTTAGCACCCAATTAATATCCTGAATTCTTGTAGTTCTTTCCCAGTGAAGTTGTAGGAAGGGTCGTCTGATAATCAGTATGTCCAGAGAGTTTGCTGATTCCATATGCTCCTCTGCCAGGATGTTGCTGATAACTGACTTAACATTTCATAGGTATGCAGTGCAATCCAGAATCAAGATTTCACTGTTATTGATGACTACTGCACTGGACTGCGAGCTCTTCTTTACCTTAAAAGCATAGAGGAACTTGCAGACTGGGACGGACAGAGTCCTGCAACCGTGCGCCATCAGAAAGGAAAACCAGTACCTAGAATTGCTGATCTCATGGGAAAGGTATGTTGTTTCATTACCATTCCTGTATAATGACACTGTGTCTTGGCTTTGAATGCAATTCCGTAATCATTGTATGCAGTTTCTGCTCCTTGGTTAACCACTGCTGCTGTCACAATTACTCACCAAGTCTTTTTCCTTCTGAGTATTAACAAATATCTTAAGGCAGCTTAAGAAGACAGACTTGAAATGTCTTGATATGGGATAACATTTTTATTATAAATATGATCTCTCCACTTGATTCATAACATCATGTCTTTAAAAAAAGTGTAGGATGTAAAATTACGAATGCATTGGAACAAGTTCTGGAACTGCTTGTTTTAATGAAACTCAACTCAATTTAGATTGAGCCTAATATTGTTCCAGAAGTTCCTGGGTGTTCCAGCCAGGGTGTAACATTCAGGAGACATGAAAGCCCCCTAACACTGACCTGACCAACTGAGACAGCTTGTCACAAACTAGCTGTTAGTTGGAATACTAGATCAGGTAGGAGTGGCCCTTCCAACATCATACCTGAGCATCTCACGGTCTTTCGTGTGTGCTGACTCCTAAACCCTCTGCAAGGCAGGGAAGTTCCAGGTGAGGAAGAGTGACACTGAATAATTTAATAGATTCTGCAAGATCATTTAAACCTAGAAAGTCTATGGTGGAATAGGAATGTAAACTATGGTCTCTCTGAAATCCTAACCTCTGGACTGCCTTTCCTCTCTGCTGTAGTAGTTCCCTACTACAAAAGCATCTTCAGAGATTTTTGCCAGATGCAATGGGTAGCAGCTGCCACAGTGCTGCTCACCCCTGCACCAGGGCACCGGCTGATCCATGCTGAGAAGCAGGGAGGTGTAACTGGCTTCCTACTGATGCCCCGCTGCCTACTGCTCTAAGCAAAATACCTGCACAGCAGGGAGGCTGAGCTTTTGTTTCTGGTTACTAGAGGGATCACTTTGAAGACTGATTTCAGTTATACATCATGCCTATTGATTATCCTTCCAAAAATCTGATATAACACTGTTGAAAATGTTGTAAAAAGTAAAGAATTACCAAAGAATAGGATTTGGAGTGTCAAACGCCTCCAAATCTCTGCTTATCGTTGCTGATGACTGGAGTTGGATTTAGCAGGAGATTAGAGACTCCTATATAGTTGTTGTTCTCTGTGGAGCTCTGAAAATTATAACATTACCTTCCAGGAGAAAAGACAATCCTATTCCTAAAGCTCTGGATAATAACGCTGCTTAAAATAAAACAAGATATAAGCAGTTTCATTTTCATCTACTTATGTTAAGCAGTTAAACCAGGCTCAAAGGGTTATATCTAAACTTCCTTACTTTAATACCTGTAGAAACATACACAACATTTCCAACTCATGTAACAGAGATTTGTTGTAATTCTTATTTAAAGCTGCATTCAGTGTTCTATCTTTGTATTACCTTTGTATTTTACTAAACAGACAACCATTGTCAAATATGTTTCTCATGTCCTTTTGCATAAGAAGAAAAAATTCTAATTCTTAGTCTTTTCTGCTTGTCACTACATCAATAATTAAGTTTAAAAAGGTAGCGTGAAAAGATGCTTTAAGGAAGCATTTAATAATTCAAAGGAATCTTAACTTGAAACAGGTCACATGAAAAAGAATGAAAAACAAAGCCCTATGTAATCTTCTGTGGCTGACTCTGTTAGACATTTAAAAGGAACAAGGCATACGGAATATAACTGATTGTGTATTTGATTGCCCTTAGCACTGGATTATATCATTGGATCATTGCTACTAAATAATAACATATAAAGTTAACCAGGCTGCATCATTGCTAAGGTAGATAGATATATTTTAGGCATAAGCTCAGGATGGCTTTTTGTCCAGGAATGAACATTCAAGGGAAAAGGAAGAAAAATAATACAACACGGGTAAAAGGAAATACCATGATAAATGATCCTGCTAGGGGCAATCAAATACAAAGGCTTGATATCATTAATATTTATAATATCATAATTAGCAAGACTGTGCCTAAGCAGTGTTATTAGTGTAACTAATTATGTTATCATAAACTAAGTTTGCAGTATTATAAGAATCAGTATTCTTACTTTCATAAATTATTATCAATATTGGATTTCATGTACTTGTGCCTAGTAAATTTAGTTAAGTACTGTAGTTTCATCTCGATTCAAACACAAATATCTAGCTTGCTTGGCAGCAAATCATAACACACAATTCTGATTCTCTTTCTAAAATAAATTCACTAAAAAGCATGTCCTTACTCTCTGTTTGGAAAAGAGAAGATAGCCTGTTGATGTGATGTATATGTTCTCAACAATAAAAGTGATGTGTAGGAATGTATATATTATACATGGAGTAAAATGTGACAGCCAAAATCCTGCATCATGGTTTTAAAAACTTATAAGGAGCTGTCCAAGTTTGTCTTGGTATTACTGTGAGATGAAATACAGTTTTTTCAGTCAGATCCCATGAGAAGCTAAACAGCAAATACTGATGAAATTTTGCATTAAAAACAAAGTGCAGATGCTAATTTTGATATGTTATATTTTGGTGCAGTAAATGTAAAAATATAAAGGAATCATCCTCCGTTTTGTTACAAAACTCCTATTAATTTTCATATAGAACCAGGGGAATAAGAAGTTCAGGCAATTGACAATTGAATGGAGGACAATAATTATTTTCAACAGCATCAAGAACTACTTGCCTTCCAATTGTATACAAATTCATGGATTGTCTCCCAGTTTTGAATATATTACAAAGTTAGGATTGGCCCTATTCCCAGCTAAGTGTGTTCATAATAGTATCTGTTTTGATTCACAGTGAAATATTGAATGTTACTGTCCATATTTTTATATAACAGTGCACTATTCTTTTGATAATTCATTTTCTGTCCTGGTTTCAGCATCAAACAAATGCTGAATGCAGGGTGTTGCCACAGAAGAGTGACACAGTAGAATTTTGTCATGAAATATTGTAGTATTTGATGACCAGAGAAAACTAAAAGATAAATACTTTCTTCTAAATGGTATACCTGACATCAAACTGAAGCTACCTTGCCATGCAGTCACCAGATAAATGACAAACTGAACAGTTATCACTGTCAGTTGTTATGTTTATCACAGTAATTTCCTTCCTAAACAGAAAGAATACTGAAAATACTATGCTAAATAGTGTAATATAATAAACAGTTCAATAGCAAACATATGAACTTTTACCTGAAAAAGAGAATCATGTTGATTAGTACCTGTTCATGCTTCTGCATTAATGGAACTAATACTTTCATCTGATAATTTATAGCCCTTAACATATGAGAAGCATCATAGCACTGGAAAATATTTTGGAAACTTGAGTGCTGTTTTTGTTTTTCACTGTTGCAGAATGTATTTTTTGGTATATAGACCCTAAATTTATCATCTTTCAGGCAGCTAGTAGATATTTTCTGATTGTCTTTTCAATAGTGCTGGCTTTTTCCCTTTTGCTAACACAGCAGTTGCTGCTGGAGTCAATACTTGCCGTTGTCCAAGATGTGACGTGTGGTATTACATAGCCTCTAATAGCAGTGAGATTCCTGCTTAGAAATGTTAACCTCAGTTGTGGCTTCCAGTCACCAGGTGATACTGTTTTCCATAGCTCCACCAATTTTATTCATTCTTTCCTGTGGTTGTAGCCTTATCCGTAACCACTCCAAAGGCAGCCCTGCCACAGATGCTGCGTCAGACTCACAAAGGTGGACAAAACCAGTCTTCTGGGCTTCCTTCCTCATTGCTTTTCTGATGGCTTATTTAGTTGTTTGTTTGTGTTTTTTTTTTTCTCTGGGAAGACCTGACATTTGAAGCCTTGAAGGAGATGACTGTCATTAATATCACCTCTGAGTTACCTTTCCATTAAATGCATGGAATAAAACTTGTCAGCTTGTCTCAGCTATAATCTCAGCTTGCAAATCTCGACACTGAGATGAGAGAATGGCAAGGTAATGATGACACCACACTCCTTCTCACTGACTCCCTTGAGGAAGAACTTTTGTAAAAGCACACTTACCTCAACATGAATTTAGGACTGAGATCAAGTGCATGATGCAGCCAGGCAGACTATCAAGATGTAGAGCATGCTCTTACAACCCAAAGTTATTAGGGTTGCTGCATAAGAGAGAGGAAGAGCACAGGTAGTGTCCTTATAATTCAAAATTAACATAATTATGTTTTAAAATAATGTTCCTGAATTTCTCAGGAAGATACATGACCAGGAGCGATAAAGATAACTCTATTCTCACCAGGTATCTGGATAAGGTACAGTATTCCCCAGAGGTGCAATCTGATCTCCTCTGTGTAGTCACTGTGTCACCTTGTCTGTTTATTACAGGAGTCTTTTATTAGTTGCTCACTGATCTTACTCCAGAGAGTTGAAGTGATTATGTCCCAGAAAGGCACTGGTGTCAGCTAGTGGTCACAGAAGTGGCACAGTGTTTTTCTGTACAAACTTCCACCTACTGTCAGCTATAAAAGTCACACTTAACACGGTGGCCTCTATACGTGCCGGGTAGCTATGGCACTGTATTTGGTTGGTAGGTGTGTGTTTATAGGAAGAGATAAATATACATGGGTGTTTCATATCAGCAACAGAAGTTTTGCAAAAGCTGATATTTGTTTGACCATGTCTAAAGGTTAAAAAATTAAAAAGAAGAAAAAGTAGTGATTTAAGCATCTCGATTCCAGAAATATCTGAAACACAAAACAAACTAGTTTTCATAGTGGATCCTCCTCAACTATTAAGGTTATACTGTATTGAAAATGTTAAAACCATACCTAATAAAAACACATTTATAGAAGGTGTTTTTTTCCAGCAGACAGATGAGAGAGAATGATCCTGAACATGTACAATGTATGAACTTCGGTGAAAATTCTCATCACCTTAAATTTAGCAAGCTGCTGATTTTTGTTCTCTCAATGCATGAACTTCCCATTAAGACTAAAATACACAATTCCTTCAAGTATCTGTGGGTACTAAAAACTGAGTC